ATAAGGTATATATTAGGGAACTCGAGATTCTGACCCTAGCTATAGAATGCGACCATCAGAAATCGGATCGGACGATCGGTGTTGAAAAAATTGGGGGACTCAAAAATTCAATCCGTGATTTGACCTTTAAGGTCAAATATTTTTAATAAGGTATATATTAGGGAACTCGAGTTTCTGACCCTAGCTATCGATTGCGACCATCAGAAATTGGATCGGACGATCGGTGTAGAAAAAATAGGGGGACTCAAAATTTCAATCCGTGATTTGACCTTTAAGGTCAAATATTTTTAATAAGGTATATATTAGGGAACTCGAGATTCTGACCCTAGCTATAGAATGCGACCATCAGAAATCGGATCGGACGATCGGTGTTGAAAAAATTGGGGGACTCAAAAATTCAATCCGTGATTTGACCTTTAAGGTCAAATATTTTTAATAAGGTATATATTAGGCAACTCGAGTTTCTGACCCTAGCTATCGATTGCGACCATCAGAAATTGGATCGGACGATCGGTGTAGAAAAAATAGGGGGACTCAAAATTTCAATCTGTGATTTGACCTTTAAGGTCAAATATTTTTAATAAGGTATATATTAGTGAACTCGAGATTCTGACCCTAGCTATCGAATGCGACCATCAGAAATTGGATCGGACGATCGGTGTAGAAAAAATAGGGGGACTCAAAATTTCAATCCGTGATTTGACCTTGAAGGTCAAATATTTTTAATAAGGTATATATTAGGGAATTCGAGATTCTGACCCTAGCTTTCGAATGCGACCTTCAGAAATCGGATCGGACGATCGGTGTAGGAAAAATCGGGGTCTCAATTTCAATCCGTGATTTGACCTTGAAGATGACCTTGAAATTTGAAATGAATACGATATTCGGAATCAGCGTCCCAAACTGCATCGGATAGGTTGGGTTTAGTTGAAATTCGGACTCGACGCTGAATCCGTCGCGGAATACGACGCTAACTTCACGGACGTCGGCTGGTCACAGAACGTGGGCTTAAAGGGACCCTCCCACCTTCAAAAAAGTTAATGAATTGGCATAAAAGTGATGTAGCGTGAATCACAAAGAGCGAAAATGAACATCTACCAAATTTTACCGGAAAATATTCACCCGTTTTCGAGATATAAGACTTTTATTTTTGTTTACTTTTTGGGAAATCCGCTGTCTCTATGACGTCACATAAAGGTTTTCTTTACGTCGGCATTTGGAAGCAATAGTTTGGTATCAAAGTGCGACAAATATTGCGCGAATGATGCGTTTATCTTATCAAGGTCAATATATGATGGCCAATAAAGGATTCCAGGACAATTCTTATGGCATTTCTTCGTATCGCAATTCTTCGTCTGCAAATCTTCGTCAGGGCATTTATCCGTACCTATCGCATTACTTTGTCTCGCACCAGGGTATATGAAAATCGGCTCGCATTTCTTCTTCAACGCAAATATATGCAAGAGTAAGCATTGAGGGACAAATAAATGCACCGACGAAGATTTATAGACGAAGAAATGCGGACGAAAAATTGTGCTACGAAGAAATGTCATGCGAGGATTCGTTCTGGTACCATGACATTTATGTGATTTCAAAGTCAAGGTTCACAGCTGAACTGCTAAATCAAGCCAAGAATCCAAACTATCAAAAAACTATAAATATTTGTTTGTCTGTCACAGAGGTCTCAAGCAATATAAGGTTGACATATGTTGAATCAAAAATCTACTGCCACAACTCACATCTCCTGCCTTAGTTTATCATTGTTGTTTTAACTTGCTTTCAAGAGAAACAGAAGCCAGTATCTGATATCACTTCAGATGATTGTTTCAAGATCTGAGTTCAAATGGAAATAAAAGCAAGATCAAGATGAAACAGGGATTATTGCTGTTAAAGTAGTTTGGCCATGATACAACAAGCACATATATCATTAGCCAAATCAAATACTGGTTGGTTTGTCAAGATGTTTGTTGTCTGTCGTCTGTCGAGCTGCTATGAACACTGAACGCTCTCACTCTTACTTTAAAGAGAGTAGTTTAAGTTGAATGGTAGTGAGCTGTAATTAGACAAAGCAGCTATTCAGTGCTCACATCAAGCCAGGCTAGGAAATGGCATCAACTGTGGTGGGAGGAAGCAGGTTCGGCAGCCCTATGTTGTAAACTTCTATTATGTCTTGTGTTTGATCAACTGATGTTTTCTGCTCTGTTTTGTGCAGTGATAGTAGCAGGTAACTGCATGCTTGTCAAATTATGTGAATAAACGAATTCATAACATTGCATTTTTCTCCCCATGCAAGGAACAAGTAAGATGTTGTAGAAAATGTAATAGAGGGCTGCATTGCTGATTTTGCACTTTATCAGAGCTTTATTTAGAATTGCTTTCCTGAAAGCTACACACAGGCCACAGTGCTGAAATTCACAATGTCATTGTCATAGCTTTTGGCAGAAAAAAGAAAAGACTTACCTAGGTAAAATTGGCTGAAAGTATGGCAGAGCAGGTCTTGATGCGTATGCCCATCCGTGTGCTTGCCGAAGCCGAACTGACTGCAACACATTTAACTCTGACCCACCATGGTGGCTGGCATATCCTGAACTTTCACCACTCTAAACAAGACAACTTTCAGCCCTCAGCATTGTATTAAAACACTGTACAAAACACTCAAAATTTGTTTCAGTGCCATCCACGGACAACATCAGTCGCCATTCACCAGGCCAGTAAAAACAGAATAGATAATAGGTTCAAACCCATGTAGTCAGAGTTACTAGGTCTGCACCTCAAAACAAAATCCAGGTGACATTCACCACGCCAGTAAAAAACAGGTACTTAGGTAACGTAACAGCTTCAAATCTGGTAACATGTTGGTCGGACTTTACACTACCATATTTACATGGAATAATATGATACCAAACAATAGTGCAACCATTCTGGACAACAAAAGTGTATGATAAAATTAATTTAGAATACTCTGGCAGCATGATTTACGAGCACAGGCAGGTGTTACCTACCAGCCTTCTCAATGCTCGTAAAACCAACATTGTAGTTTTGATTTTACCTTACATGATAACACACTTGGCTGCAATGGCACATTTAATTTAATACTGTGAAAAGACCAGTTATAACCACTTCACAAGCACAATTGCACCTCATGCCGACATCCTTTTCCAAAGACAGTCAGCAGCGTCTTTCGTCAAAACTGGAAGATAAATCCCCTTTCAACTGTTAACATCAAAAATATTTCTTCATGGTGTGACTGTGATCTCCATATGGAAACCTTGCAGGAAAAGAATTAATGTCAATTGTCAGCTCTTCAAATTTCTTTGGACTTTAACTTGCAGTACCATATCCAGTTTGCTTTGATATTTTGTTTTTTATTCCATGTTGAAGTTGAACACCAAGCTCCAGATATAGCAGGCAGCTTGATCATCTTCGGCCTTGGTATAATATCAGTCCAAGTTCCAGTGGTGGGTATCTTCTAATATTCAAATTAAAATGAAAAGCAATAGGCTTTCTCAGCGCCGACGACGGATTTCACGTTGATAAAAAAGGGAGCTCAAGGTCAGCAAAACTCGGGTTCAAGGAATGGCGGGCGTTGAAATGACTGCTGACGTCATCAACAAACCGCTAATGGTTAAGAGATAGGGACTAAGCTGGTCCCACCCTGCAAGTAAAGGGAAGAAATTTCTTGAACACCATAAAGCTGCGGGGGTTGCGACCAGGATAAATGGTGGTTTCTGAGCCTGGCCGCAAACTTGGCTATCTCAACTCAAAACTAATGTTAAGGTGGGATGGTCCCTTTAAGCAAGCCACTATCAACTTAGTTCGCGCGCACATGCATGCCAATACTCTAATTATGCTCTATCAAATGGCTGAAAGTAGTGTGTATCGAACAGACGTAAACGTTGGAGGAAGAGAAGATATTGACTCATCCTTACATACCTATTGCATTGACACCGGCCGCTCCCCCGGTTTTCCAGGGGGGCTAAAAGGCAAAATTCAGTTAAATCAGAGGATCCTCGCGAAAACAGTGGCGCGAGCTTACAACGAAGGTAGCCGCGCCATCAGAAAGCGATATACCAGCACCTCAAACATGCACTCTTAGGCATTGATGCATATCAACCTGTTAACATGGATGTTGAAGCAGCTGTGACGTTGAAAAGATTGTTTCCTCTTGAAGGGCTTGGAGAAGTGAGCAAGCACGTGCAGGTCATTTCTGACGATAGTATCCCCATAATCGAACATATGAACAACCGCAAACACCATGTAACATCGCAACCAGCCCAGAAGACGTGATCTTAGTTCCAAAAAAAAACATGCAGCAGACATCGGTGATGGCATTCCACTCGGTGACTTCTGACGGTCACGTGGGGCCCCCTTATTTTACGGAATCGGGAGGGGGTTCGCCATTACAGGGTACCTAACCATTACTCCGGCAGTTCGAACCAACAAGATGGAAGAAGGCAACATCCTGCATGGGGTGATGCTCTTCGAGGAGTCAGCTCCCCGACATACAGTAAATTAAATACAAAATCTCCTGAAACGGAGGATCCCGCAAACTGTACCCAAGGGAAAATGCCCTCTTCCTCATTAAACCTCAGCCCACACAAGTTCTGGTTGCTGGGGCGTTTTTGCGGGTGAGTCTAACGAACGTCCCCATGTGACTGTGGCGAGTCTCAGCAGCGCCAGTCGGCTACAATTACGAGCCATTTCAGACGGGAGATCTCGCCGCGCGTGCGGCCAGTCCAGACACCGATAAGGACTGATGCAGGTGCACCACGGTGACCATATTTGGTGATAAATGTGTAAAATTGGTGTGACAATATATGATCCAAATTTGAAATGCCTATGTTTACAAATTTCTAAGCTACGGCGTTCTGAATGGAAATATGCATTTTGTCCCAATTTATCTGCCCAACCCTGTATTCCACCGCATGACAATGGCTATTACGTTGAATATCGATCCCCTAACTGAACTATGCGCTAGACATCTATCGCATCAAACCAAATTAAGGTGATGGCAAACACTTTATATCGGCAGCAACAGCAGCACCCATATCAAGTTGCACTCAACAGGAATAAACGAGCAATACAAAAGATGGAGCGAGATTCCAACTTCAAAAGTCACCGACCAATCTCTTCCGAGAAGTCGATCGCCTGCTTATCTGACGTGTTTGTGTTTCGACTTCTCTTTGGCGCGCTTCTTTTCTGACTTTTCTTTCACGTGCTTCTTCTTCGGCTTGTCTTTCCCGTGTTTCTTTTGCAACTTGTCTTTGCCGAGTTTGGATTTCGACTTACGAAGCGACGCCGACTGCCCACTCCCCGGCTCCGGAGATCGTCGCGACACCGTCCAGTGCTCTCGCGGCGACCAGGCACCCGGAAAGTAGCGCTCTCTGTTGGTCTCATGGTGCCGCGAGGCTCCAGGTGGCGAGAAGTCCTCTACATCCGTCCGACTCCACTCCTCATCCGAAGAATAGCTTACGTCTCCATGGACCGCGTGCTGACCGCCTTCCCACGGCCCTCGCTTCCCCCTTGTCCAGCTGGGGTCCGGGGATGACCTTGCGCCTCGCTGGCGACGTCCCCTGCCTCCACGTCCCCTCCCGCGGCCTCGGACTCTGTTCCGGAGCGGCGAGGTCATCGTGACGTAACTCTCGTTTCCGGACGAGTCCGATCGCTGCTCGGCGTCACTTGCGAACTGATCGACAGTCACCCGCTGATTGAGGTCGCCCCAGCAGGGACGACGCAGGATCGCTGGCGGTGCCTCCGGCTCGATTAAGTCCTCAGTTCGTGCGCGTTTGATGGGCGATCTACTGATCCCGCCACTGCCACCACCGCGTCTCGCCCTAGCCACCGGCCTGTTCGTGTCAGTGCTCTCTGGCTGCGCGATGGTGCCGTCCGCCAAACCCTCGGGGGACTGAGCACGTTTCTTGCGAGACCTACGCCGGTCAAAGTTCAGGTGCTTGATCTCCGCCAGTTCCTGGTAGCGTTCTGAGACCTCCGGCAGCAGACCACAGGCCGCCATACTCCTCACAGAGAACATCGACGGCAGTGGTAGCTTCAGAGTGCCCGTCACATACTGGTACGTGTTGTGACTGCATAGCTTGCGCAGCGATATGGCGTGAAGATAGTCCTCGAGACCCCAGGGCACCGACTTGCCGTTGTCACGCCAGAAAGCCAGCTGTGCTCCACTGAACAACTTAACAAGCTGCTTTATGAGACGCTGCTGCTTGTCCGGGCGAGTTTTTTTAGTGCGCATCTGGATCTCCCCCTCCGTCTTTTCAAGAGCTCGCCTTAGTAGGGCGTTACGTAGCTTCAGCATGTCTCTGCGCAGATCGAAAATCATGCGAGTTGCCTCCGTGAGAGTGGAGGGCAGAGTGAGTAGCTGGTTCATCGTTGGCAGGTCGCCGAGTTCCGGTACTACATCCTCGGAACGTAGCACCAGCAGCTCATTGGCGTCCTTAGCACAGGAGTCATCCTTCGGTCCTTCGGTGACACAGGTTCGGTCGCTACATCCGACTGTCCCTTCATTTGACGTACCATTCTTCGCTTCATTAGCAGTGTTTGGTGTTGCGGCTTCAGCAGCCTTCAGCCCCTCAAGTACCTTGAGACGTTTGACCACCGTTTCAGCTAATAAATGACCGCGGTTCAAAACCTTTTTAACGCGCAGAAGCTCGCCGTAAGTGTTGACACTGTGGAAAAGATTGGCTGGCTTGTGTACAGCTGCAGTGACCGGTGCGCCAGAGCCGTGTTTCGACAGCGGTGGTGGTACGCGCGCGGTGTTCCCGGACACTGGCTCACGGGGAGCGTTCTCCGACAGCGGTCGTGGTGAGAGTAAGGCATTCTCCAGCAGCGATACTGGTGCACCAGCAGCCCTCTCTCGCAGCGACACTGGTACGCTTGTAGTGCTCTTTGGCGGCGACACCGGTGTGTGAGCAGTGTTTTCTGGCCGCGGTAGTGGTACGCATGTCGTCCCCTTTGGCAGCTTCCTGAAAATTACACTGAAGTTAAGACACATAAACTGTTGTAGTAACAGGCGAACAATTGTCTACCAGCCACATGCGTCGACTCATTATTCGTTTGAGATATTACAAACAAACAAAAATGTAAATTGTTAAAAAAAAAACTGCAAGAAAATGTCAATGCATTAGGTGCCAACTATCAAAACCACTAAGGCTGAAACAGACCCTTTTGTCAGTCAGGAACAGCGAATTTTTAGATAGGAATCACATGCGCCTCCGACTTGACTAAAACCGACCTACGTAAATGCGAATGGGACAACATTCCTTAACAAAATAAATGTTAAATTCAGAAACCACACCACCAACATAGCACCGGAAAATCTACCTGACCTGACTTGGGTTATTCACCTGACCTGAAACATCAATAAATGGCCTAAGACCTTGAAATTGGGTACCATTGGCCCTCTCTCTCGTGACGAACAATGCATTTTGCTGAGTTCTAGCTTGATCATGGACCGAGTGACTAGGGGACACGATCGACTCCCCCCCCCCCCCCACATACGTTAGCTGATGTGAAAATGCCAATGCAGGCGAGGATTGGACACCATGCTGAGAGAGCAGTAGTTTCTGAAGAAAACATACCTCGGGCCACGTTGGTTCATTCCGTGCTCAAAAACCTTCATATTTGGGAACGTCTCCTTCCTCAATCGAGCCATTCTTTTCTCCACATAAATCTTTGTTCTCAGCTTTTCATCAGCTGTGGTGCGAACTGGACAGACCCTTGCCTCCTTTGGAAACCCTTTCCTGTAGCTCCTGAAATCAAAATCCCTTGTTACGCACATTAGGTACTTATGAAAATTCAAATAGGTAGTGTGTTAATCACCATGCCTTTCACTGTCTTTGATTCCCTAACAGAAAATATGTTCACTAAAAATGATGGAGTCAGGAATTTTATTGATGTACGGCTGGTTACAAAAGCAACATAAGAAAAAATAATAAAATAGTCATTTGAGGTACAGTGAATCAACTATTGTGAACTGTTGTTTACATCTTATTGCTCAGTGCTATCAAAGGGGTTGCAAAACAAAGGACAGCATGCTTTACTGAACTAATTAGAATCTCAAGATCAAATAAAGGATGGGTATGATCCCTGACTCTCCTACAGTAAAAATGCTTCAACGTATTTATCCACAAAATAAAAATAAAACAGGTGGTAATAAGTAGAATCTAACAATAAACAAACACAAGACGTTGAATGAGGCATCTGTGATGGTAGTGACTATTGGTTATTGGTTAAGTAGAAGCGGAAGTCGGGAGGATGGCCCGTGTCGGTCTGAGGCCGGGCTGGATCGCGAGATCGGGCCTCTGCGGCCCCCGTGGGAGGATGGCGTGCCAGCTCGCGTGCGGGACGGTGTCTCGACGAACCCTGGCCGACATCTGCACGTTGGGAGGAGCGGAGACGGCATGGAGGCGGATCTTCGGCTCCCGTTCCGTCGACGAAGCTGTCGCCGAGGAGTAAGTAAGTAAGGTTAAGTAGGAAGCACTGTATCCCATATCACACTTACTGCTTACGGACAGAAGAGAGCTGTGCGGCAAGGTTATTTTTAGTCTTAGCATAATCAACAGGCTTGCAAGTCTTCAGCTTTTGATCATCACTAGGTGATCCCATTGTTCTTTGAGTTGTCTGAAGTGAGGTACCTTTTCCCTCAGCATTCTGCATGGTGCACTGCTAACCTCTGAAGTGTTGACACACAGCTTGTCATTGGGTGGGTAAGGCTTACGTCAGAATGAGCAGTGGTCTGTTTCACCATCTCCTTTAATTTGAATAATGTATTGCATTACTAATCACAAAGGTTAAGGCATTACCTTGCAGTCTGGAATGTTACCTGTTATGGCACACTGGACCCTGATTACATAAAAGCTATAGGACTTTTGGACAAAGTTCAGTACACTGTGCAAGTGAACTGAGTGAACTGATAAGCTAGTACCACTGAGCTACACAGATCGCTCAAAGGAGCTGAACTTGAGCTGAACACTGAGTGAGTGAGATGAGTCAGGTGTGTTTGCTGACCTGAACTCACCTCACTCATCATTGGATAGGTACATACTAAGCAAAATGGTAAGGAACAATAAATCAACACAGAAAATTCTTGAAACATGCACATTACTCCCCAAAAGTACGATACCTATCTTAACACGCGCCCCAGTGACGGTCTCAGCCAACTTCGCCCTAGTTGGGGGGGGGGGGGGCATATGTTACCACCCACCTCTAACTCAAAAACTAAGAGGGCTAGAAAGACGCAGTAAAAAGCAGTCGATAGCTCTCAATGCGTACGTTTGAAAGTATTTCAGTCATTTTTCATCTTAGAGCAATATTAGGGTCACCAGAGGTCATTTTAGGTGAAAATTTGCCACTTGTCATAATATTTTTCAGAAAACATGCCTTTATCTCAGGAACTATGGTAGCTAGAAAAACGCATGGAAAAGCAATCGATAGCTTTTGAACTCTTCTTTTGATAAGGGCATTATCAAAATTGACCTCAGGTCAACGGTTTAGCCTCTAGAGGGCAAAACTCCAAAAATAGCTGTTTTTACAAAGTGTTTTTCGACAATAACTTTCGACTACAAAAAGCCACGACATTTCTATTGCCAGAATCATGTTCCTCTCGCCGAGACGCGTGGCCGTGGAATGAACTATAATTTGACCTCAGGTCAAGGTCATGACCTGACCGGAAAAGGTCATGTTGCATATCAGTCGATGCGTCTCAATAAGACAAACACAATGAGACCATCCCCAGCGTTCTATCTCTTTCCAATCGCGAATTATTGGCAAAAATCTGTTTGTAGCCTCAAATGACCTTGGATGACCTTTCTAGAGGCTATCAGCAAAAATGACACCTTGGTCATCACGGGTGGTCCAAATCATTGTGATTCTGAAATATTTGGACTGTTCCTATGCGTACACACGGATCTAGAGGCTTTTTCATTTTTCTCCATTGACTTGTAATGGAAAGGTCACGCCACTGACCTGACCTTAGGTCACAGATATAAAAAATATGAGATATACAAATTGTAGGCGCCCATAACAGCATGCAATCCACCAAGTTTAACCTTTCTGACAAACATTGCAGGCTGGACATGATTGCAAACTTTTTTAGGCTTGGTCAGTTAACTTGACCTGGTGACCTGACCTGACATGACCTGACCTGGGGTAAAAAATTTCATACATTGTCCAAAATTGATGTACCAAAAGCTACCCCAAGCGGCGCGGAGCTACGCGCCGCGGTTTTTTATTCACACGCAAAAAACGCGACAGGGTGGTAACAAATGCCCAACCCCCCTCTCCCCACCCACTGGGGCGAAGGTTAAATACAATTATTTAAAAAGGAAGTCATTTAAGTGCACCATCCATCACCACCATCGCAAACTTATAACAATTGGAATGCCCAATATTGAGTGAGATTAGAGAGAAATGTCACGAACTACAGCAGCCATACTGGGATGATAAGGAAAAAGTAATTATGAAATTTCTATGAGATGATAATAGAATGAACATGGAAAAAAAGAAACATATTCTGTACAGCATGTAGAAACTAAAAGAATAGGAGGAGCCATTGCAAAGGCAAATACTCTAACCCATCATCATCATCATTATCTATCATAGGTATTACCTACATTCAGGATTTTCATTTTAACCTAACATAAAAAATAGCCATAACCTTACTTATCCTATGAAACCAAACGCATAAGGGATATAAGTTATGACTATTTTTTTATAAATTTAGTGCGAACCTTTTGATAGGAAGGATTCACAAGGACAGAGCCACCGCTAAGTGAAGCTTGTTGCGGTGACCCTGCCCTCTACCCTCCGATCGCGCAATTCCAGTTCTATGGCAGAATTTAGAGTCCAAAGTTTAACGTGCGCACATAGCCGCGCACGGCCGGTCCCCTCACTGACTTCGCTTGGCTACGGCCTGCCACCAACCACAACCATACCTGTCAGGAGGCCCATAAATGTCGAGCGCCCGTCGTGCTTCGAACCCGGACTGTTATAACCGGGAACGCGTGCTCTCACCACGCGGAGTCCAACGCTCTACCAACTGAGCTACGGGACCATTTTTGTTCGACATCCTAACGTTACAGCTGACTGCGCCAAAATGTAGGTTAACAAGGTATGATGTAAGCAGTAAGCACCAAATTTGAAGGCAGTGCAGCCTGTGCAGGTGATGGGTGCCAGTGTCTTACGAGCTATGATTGAATGTAGAAAATATTTTAATATGGTATTAGCCCTAGAACGCCTAGGGGGGGGGTTGTATCAACCCCCCCCCCCCTGAGGTTTTTCGAAGTGCACGCTAAACGGCTTGTCGTAGCGGCCTGAAATTTTCAATACCCTCTGGGGCAACCTTTGCGCATCTTTTGCCGAAAAAAAATTGATCGGGTCATGTCAGGTCACGGAGTTATGACGTCATAAGAGGTACAGCCTCCGGCCGGATTTTCACAAACTGAGTGCCAACGCCCGAGGTTTCCTGCCGGTGGTACGGACATCGGTTGATGGATCGTGATGAAACTTCCCATGCATGTTGGGGCAAGTATTGGCTATCATATGGTATAAGAAATTTGACCGGGTCAAGTCAGGTCACGGAGCTATGACGTCACAAGAGGAACAGCGTCCGGTACTATTTTTGAAAAGCGCCCGAACCACTATTTTGCTAATTCTTGTCACCTCAATGGGAATATGCAGCAATATTAGCTTCTATAGGGAGCAAATGGACCTCCCAAATCCAAAAATACAATCAGATTTCAAACATTTAAATTTTGATTTTTCGAATTTCTGCCGCCGACTGTGACCTTGCCGACTTCCGGCGCTCCCAACGCGCCATTTTTAGAGCTAGGGAAACGAAATACATACCAAACGATAGAGAATTGATCAAGGAACACGATAGTGAAGGTTTCAAGTCGATATCTCCCACCGTTTTGCCGCAATCGCCGCCGAAAGTTGAAAAAAGTCTATTTTTCCGAAAATTTGACCTTTGACCGGTCAAAAGTAGGTCAAATGTTGACCTAGGACCAAAAAATATACCACCAATCGCGAGATCTCGTTGAGAGCAATCCGTTGTTTTTTTCCGCTAAGCTCTACGACCTTCCGTTTCGAAACGCCAGGGGGGGGTCGTAACAGCCCCCCCCCCCCCTGGTCGTTCGTGTTATGAGAAATGGCCTGGTCGTGCGAGGGTTAGTAAGCCTGGCGTCCAAGGAAGTATTGTATTGTATTGTATTACCTTCATGGACAATCCACACGGGGCATGGCGATAACAGTCCAGAATGCCAGATTGGGACGATGGAGATAGACAAAAACAAACCTAACCTGATGTGACCGTCACCTAGCCTTACCTACAACCTACAAACCTAAAACCTACAAACCTACAACATACCCTACAAACCTACAACCTAACCTACAAACCTACAACCTACCCTACAAACCTACAAACCTACAACCTACCACCAGCCTAAGCAAAAATGTATTCATTCTTTCCTTAGTCACGCGGCACAATCCATTGCATTCAATCGCAAAATATGTGAGTGGGCACTTTCACCTACCACCGTATCACCGTATCACCACCTACCACCGTATCTGGCATCTTCCCGGCATGCCAGTCGATGTTTTTATATCAGCGTACTGTCGGTTTTTCCCATATAAGGAAGTTATTGCTGGTGCGTCTTGGCCTCTCATTGGTCTAACGAATAGACCACTTGAATTCGACCAATGAGGAGCCAAGAAGTAGCAGCCTGGTCGCAGCCTGCTGATAAATAAATGGGGGGGCAAACAGAGCTCAGACTTACTCAAGGCTTTATAAACCAAGGGCTTACTTATACCAAAAAACTGTAAGCACTTGAGTCTTCTGTGGCTTTGTCAGTCTATTGAGGTGTGTTTTTCTTTGAGTGTAGGCATTTATTATGCAAATTCCTGCAGTTCTCACTTCTCAGGGTGTTCTTGTTCTCAAGACGGCTTAACGAACAAATCTCGGTATTAGTAGAGCAGACGTCAGACGAAGGTTTTCCAACCAAGGAGAGGCGCAATGCCTGGAGGTAGTTCTTTCTAACAAAACCTAAACAAATCCAACCTAACCTGACCTAACCTAACCTACAACCTACAAACCTACAAACCTACCCTACAACCTACAAACCTACAGCGCCTCTCCTTGGTTGGAAAACCTTCGTGTGACGTCTGCTAGTCTACTAGGTAATGCCCAAACCTCGAACTCTTTTACAAAATGCTATGAAGTCGTACATCAGTCGAAAGAACAATTCATTGTGGATATTTACTGACAATACGCTCCACTCTAGTCTCTAAGCCATAAGCATATATGGTTGATGGCTGTGATGAGCATTGTTAGTATTATAGTTTTAGTGATGATGAAATAGCCTTTGCTCATACTTAATCGAAAAATGACGAAAAAAACAAAATATATATAAAGACACTGATATTTTGCCCTTGTGGCTTCTTCAGAGTGAACATTTAAAACATTCATATTTGAAGCAGAGATGGCGAACGTGCGGATAACATTCTTTGCACCACCGATCACAAGTTGTTGCTACCATAAATAACAATAATCCAATTTTAACACTTTACCCTAAGTACTGATGTACTTAGGGTACTGATTTATGGTAGCAACAACTTGTGATCGGTGGTGCAAAGAATGTTATCCGCACGTTCGCCATCTCTGCTTCAAATATGAATGTTTTAAATGTTCACTCTGAAGAAGCCACAAGGGCGAAATATCAGTGTCTTTATATATATTTTGTTTTTTTCGTCATTTTTCGATTAAGTATGAGCAAAGGCTATTTCATCATCACTAAAACTAAGCCATAAGCAATAAAAAACTATATACACTGTGTAAAAAACGTAAAAAACTACCTAAGCCTCCTCCCCAACTCCCACTCACTGCGCCGTTTTCGTCAACATTTATGCTTCAAAATTCGAATGCTTTCAGTCTTGATCAACTAGATATGATATGACATCATAGAAACTTAAAGGGCCCCTCCCACCTTCAAAAAAGTTAATGAATTGGCATGAAAGTGATGTCGCTCGGTTCAGAAAGAGCAAAAACGAATATCTACCAAATTTCATCGAAAAATATTCACCGGTTTTCAAGATATTAGACTTTTACTTTTGTTTACTTTTTGGGATCTCCACTGTTCCTAGCGACTTTATTTGAAAGTGCGGCATTTGTTGCGCGCAAAGCAGCATATACAACCGCGTGCTACAAAACGTTTTAGTCAAACATTTAACGGACGTTCAAAAACCTGATGACGTCATCAGATTCCCGTAATGGTTAAGAGATAGGGACCACGCTGGTCCCACCCTGCAAGTAAAGGGAAGAAATTTCTTGAACACCATAAAGCTGCGGGGGTTGCGACCAGGATAAATGGTGGTTTCTGAGCCTGGCCGCAAACTTGGCTATCTCAACTCAAAACTAATGTTAAGGTGGGAGGGTCCCTTTAAGTCTAACGACGCACCAATTAAAATAAAAAAGTTTTGGTTATGTTTTGGAGAAGCTGTTATGTTTTATCAGATGAGGATGGTTCAAATGTCTTTCAGTGAGGAAAATATCAGGCAAAAAAGTGTTATCGACTATGTCCTTTCAAACAAAGAATGCTATAGATACTTTCAAGGGATGCAAGTGGATGAGGGAAAGGAAATAACTGATGTATCCGACCATAATGTGGTTACAACTACTTTTAAGCTACCACATGTTGACAACAACTTCAAAAAGGATAAAGTAATCAGAGAGAGCTACATGAAAACGGACCAAAAGTCCATGCAGAAATTCGGAGAAGAGATGAATAGAAGGCTGAGGACAACAGAAGTCCAAAAATTTGAAGTGCTTAACAGCATGATGAAAGAGGTGGCAGAGACTCTACTTGTAGCTGTCTACAAAAGGAGATTGAGTAGACAATATTCAAGGAAAGAGCCACCATGGATTACGGAAGCTATCAGAGAAGCAATAAAGAAAAGAAAGGACCTGAACCGCATGAAAAGAAATGCAATAGATGATGCTAAAAAAGTCACCCTTGAACAAAAGTACAAAGAGCAAAAACAGAAGACACAGCGCCTGATTAAAGAAGCAATAACAGTGACAGAAAAAAAGATAACAAAGGAAATTCGAAGCAGTGAAAACAAAAGTAAATCGCTATGGGAAAATATAGACAAACTCAGGAAGAAAGAGCGTATTAAAGAAGAAGTACGTCTATATGACGAAAATGCCAAAATTCTCGACCACCTTGAGGAGAAAGAAAAACTTATCAGCTACTGGACCAGCATATACCAGCAGCATAATAACGATATTGACGAGCATTGGAATGAAGAAGAAAGACGAAGTTATACCGAGGAAATGAAAGAACAGGCACGGAACAAATGCTTTCCTAGGCATCTATGCGAACATATGGACATGGCCATGTACATCAACAATGTCGTTGAACCAATGGAAGATCCTCAGCCTGATGGAGCGCAGGTGAGGGCTATAATAAATAAAACGAAAACAAAAACCACTCCTGGGCCAGACGGGCTGAAGAACGAGCTGTACAAAGAGTTAATCAAAAGCGACAAAGGCCTTAAAGTGCTAACAACATGTATGCAAAACGAACTGACATCTGACACGAAGCCGGATTCATGGAAAGGATCACATACAAAGATGATACCTAAAACAAGCAAACCAACAGCACGGCAACTACGACCAATAGCACTGACCAACGCATCATATAAGATATATATGAGCATGATCAAAAACGAAATCGAAGAACATCTACTGGTGAACGGAGCCTTAATGGAAACTCAAGCAGGCTTTACTGCTGGAGGACGTGTTGAGGACAATCTCTTTCTTCTAAGCTACTGCGTCGAACAAAGTTATAAAAGAAAGAGACCGCTATATGTGACAGCCATTGATTTTGAAAAAGCCTTTGATTCAGTCAAGAGAGGCCCAATGATCAAAGTCATGCAAAGATATAAGATCCATCCCGATATTATCTCATCGGTAGCAAGTATATATCACGGCGACTTCACAACGATTAGGCTCAGTAGTGCTACAGAAGAAAAACTCAAAGTAACCAGTGGTATAAGACAGGGCTGCACTGGTAGCACCACGCTGTTCAAGCTGATCACGTATGAAATTGCAAGGAAGCTGATGGCCACAAGAATGGGATACAATGATAGGAATATCTATCTCCCCTTACTTCTGTTTGCAGATGATGGTTTGATGCTGTCTCATTCAAAGAAGGAAACAGAGCTAATGCTTGAGGTACTTGTAGCATCAAGTGAAGAATACGGAATGAAAGTAAACAAAAGAAAAAGTGAGATATTGATCGTAAATGAAACTTGCGAAAACAGTGAGAACATCACAGAAATCGGAGGGATACCTGTTACAACAGAAGTCAAATACTTGGGAGTGACGATTCTCAACAAGAAGGATGTATTCAAGGAACAGAAGAACCTAATGATCAAGAAAGCCCATAAGCTGTCAAATATGACATATAGCATCATAAGTAAAAGTTGTAATAAGATTATGATTGGGAAAACCTATTGGAAAAGCATTGCCCTACCAGCAATCCTATATGGAGTCAATGTTATGACACTTACAGAAACAGAAATCAAGCAACTACAGACTATTGAAAACGGGGTCTACAGGAAGATTCTAGGAGCACCGAAATATGCACCAAATTGCACATTAAGAGGAGAAATCGGTTCATCACTAATGAAGACAAGAATAATGAAAAGTCACCTTCAATATATAAGAACGACACTGCAAGGACGAAATGAACTACTAAAGAAAGTAATGGAAATAGAGCTTGAAAGGAAAGAAAGCAAATGGGCGAAAACAACCGAGAAGTACCTGTCATCACTGCAAATAAGATTACATGCCCTAAAAGATAAAAGCAAAAAGGATATAGACAAAGAAATAAACAAATGGGATGCAAAACAATGGATGGAAGAAATAGGAAGCAAAGTAAGCCTACAGCTATACAAAGCAAGCAAACAACGTATAAGAGAAGAGACTATCTATGACAACACCCCAGCAGCGGTCACTCTCTTTCGAGCTAGAACGAATTCGCTACCCCTACAAGAAAGAAGACGACACACCGATGAAGACACATTATGCCAACTATGTGGAGAGGAGAATGAAGACATGGAGCACTTTCTATTGAAATGTAACAGACTCATGGATGTTAGAAGTAATATCGAGTCCCTACAACGACCTCACATAGAAGACACTCAGGAGATCATGAGAGACTTTCTCTTCAATGACGAACGGGAAGAGGATGCGGAAGAGAGGAAGGAGAAGCTGCACTGTCTATGGAGAACCCGTCAAAAGCGTCTGGAAGGAACATGAGCAAATGTAGAAAGACATGCAGCCTCCATCCTCATCCTTTTCCCAGTATCCCTATAACCAAATAGGGCACCTATGGGGGAGCCGATGCAAAGGCTATTCCCCCGAAGACTCATCATCATCATCATCATCAGGCAAAAACTTTGAATGAGCTTTTGCCAAAACGTCACAGTACAGCTATGATTGGCTGTGAGAATATTTTTCATGACGTCAATATTAAATACATTTAAATAAGCAGACCAAGTTTGTCACTATTTATTTTATCAGAAGACAGCCGATTTCGCAAACCCGGCTGACGCAGGATCTCGTCATTTCATTGGTGAATAGCATGAGCGACTTGAAGTTCACCAATGAGAGCCGAGAAATCGTAGCACGCTGGTAAAAGACGATTGCGAGCGAACAGCGCTCGGTGTTGCCGGCTGCTTGCCTGCTATTCATATGTAAAATTTTTATTATGCTGATTATGGTTCTCTTGTCATAAAGGGTGTGAAATTTTGAAAGGCTAGGTCACTGGTCAAGGTAATTGAGTTCTCTATATACCCAAGGCCATATATACCTATATACCGTGTGTACTTTAGCTTGGTCTCAAGGATCCGGTCTTACGGAGCTCAGCTTGCTGTGTGTTTTGACTCAGCCAATCATAATTGTAATGTGAGTTATATAGGAACAGTCCACAGTCATCATCATCATCATCATATTTATTTGACATCCTTTGAGGACAAAACAAGGAGAACATATCTTCATAACATAACCGTGACACATGAAGATACAAACACAGCACGGCACAACAAAGTCACGTTTGCAAAGCACGGGCAGCTTTTTACATCAGGCGGACTAGGAGAATCAGTTTGAATGTATTGTTACAAGCAGCCTTACTAGCTGCCATGACTCGGCACTGTTGCTGTCCATCAGCCAGCTGAGCGAGTCCGCAAGGCCACACTCGGGCCTGGGCGTGTGCACCCAGTCTCCGTGTATATGACCGCTGGCAGCCTCCAGTACCCACATGAAGTTTCCCCCACATAGTGACATTAGATGGCACACAATAGAAGCAGATGTTTCCGCGAATCTTGCATTGGTCGCCAACTGGGCCAGGCTACTCACCAGCACACAACGGAGGCGGTGCTGGCCACGAAAAGCGTTTTGAGTAGCGCGAAAAATAGACCGCCGAACGAGAGCTTGTACACTTGGGATGTGAAGTGCCGCCATTAGTGCGGAGTGGTGGGCAGTGCGCGGTAGGCGTAGCGCGCTTTTGACAGCCAAGGCTTGCCAGCCTTCGAGGCGAGCAATATCTCCAGAGCTTAAAAAACAGACCTCACATCCATAAATCAGAACAGGAGCGACAATCATCCGCCATAGAAATGCCTTATCAACAGCAGAGAGGTGCTGATTAAACATGCCGGCCGGCGTTAGGCCAAAGAACGCACCCCTGCTCCGCTGAATTCGGGCAGTCACCTGATCGGCACCGTGTAGCTGGGAGCGCAGCTCAACACCCAAGTGTGTGGTTTCCTGTCGGTGCTTCAGGATCTGTCCACATAGCTGCCACTGAGGCGTCCGAGAGAGGAACTCGGCCCCGAATATAAAGCTGTGACTCTTGGTCAAGCTTTGGTTCACATGTACAAAATCTATCCTCCACAACACTGAGAAGGAGGAGACGATATGAAGCATTGATTGAAGATCGCGTGCGCTACTAGACATAATCAGAATATCATCAGCATATGCAACTGCTGGGATGTGGTGGCCATACAGCGTGGCGCCCAAGCGACAGTCATTGAGCTGTTGGATGAGCGGGTATAAAAACATATTGGTGAGGCACGGCGATAAAAGCGCACCCTGTCTCACTCCTCGGCGCACACAGAAGGCGTCTGACAGCTTCCCACCAAAACGTACTCGGGCTGACAGGTGAGAGTACCAATAGGCCAGAAGCGCCCAGCTCCGGCGTGGGAGGTGCTCACTCGCTCGGAAGAGGACGCCATCATGCCACAAACGATCAAAACATTTCCTAGCATCGAGGTTAGCTGCAAACAGCGGGAGTTTATAGCATAGGTAATGTTGCGCGGTCTCGTGTACAAGCATAGACGCTTCGCTGGTGCCCCTATGCCCTAAGAACCCAAACTGAAGTTCAGAGGCCTCAAATGACGTGTCGATCTCTTCCTGAAGGATCAGTTCCAGAAGTTTGGAGATAGTCGACACGAGAGAGATGGGGCGGTAGCTATCGGCAGAGTCGGGGTCCAGTCCGGTCTTCTTCATGATAGGCACCACTGTGCTGCATGTGAAACTGACAGGGACAGGGACACAGTAGAAGTAATGCGCGGTTTCAATCATGGGTATGTTCTCCTTCTGAAGCTTAAGAACAACTAGCCAGACTACAATGAAACTTTGAATGTAGTTTTCATGCATTGTCACCCTCGCAGCTGCAATTTTATCTATTAATGTCTTCTTTTCAATCACTCCGCATTAAAAAAATCGCCAGTCAAAGCCATTTGTTGAGATTGTTAAAACTGCATATTACTTTAGCAATTAGCGGTCCCGGAACGCCCTACCAGAGGAAATTGTCAAATGTTTTCCAGAACCAGCCGGACAAGCACTGGATGAACTATGCCTTCATCGCTCCACAATAGAGAAGACTGTTGACTGTTGCTGTTGGTGAGGTGATCCTTCTGCTGCATGGATGCAGTCATATTACTCTTTTTCTGGAGACCGGTTAATGTGGCCCTATTTGGGGTATAGGGATCTTAATTGTGGTCAATTGAATTGAGTTGATAGAAAAAAATACCTACAGTTGGGAATGACTAAAGTAGTACCTGAACTGAGACATTTGTCAATATAAAAGCATCTTCAAAATCCTAAAAGACTACCATCTCTTAAAGAAAAAGAAGAAGGTAAATGGTTGACACAATCACCATTTGGCTTGGTGTGTTCAAGACCTTACCAGGTGGTGTCAACATAGGTAGACTGGACCAGTTCTACCGTCTTCCAGCCTGCACTCGCAACTGTTAGCAGAGCTCATATGTTTAAGCTGCAGAAGCTCTGAGTCTCAGCTACCTCAAGAGCCAGAAGAAGTTGTCTTTTAGTCAGAGATATTCACAACTGAAGCGCTTCCACCGTCCTATTCACTTCAGTCAATCAATTTCAATCCAAATTCCAAACTCGAATGTTACTGTGGTGATACATCCCAGTTCAAGATAATTTCTGCTACACTAGGAAGGAGCTCAATGTATTTGAAAACCACTAGGCCAAGTGTAGCCTTCTAGATTCTGTATTCATTAAAACAAATAAAAGATAGAGCATTTCCTTTTATCTTATATTGTTGCTAGCAGAGATTTTCAGGAGAAATTAATTACAAAACAATAGATTTACATCGATGCCTGTGAACTGTTACGACTGCATCCAATCTGACTAAAATTTTCCCCACTTCTAGCAGATGGGCTAGGCACAAAGTATGGGCATTGAGCATCAGCAGGCATATTTTTATATCATGCATGTATCTGGTGTCGTGGTACGTCATGCATTAAGCATCTAGGTTCTGCATTCGGTCAGTTGAAACGCCCTGCTCCCCAGTCTTTAAGTTAATTGGACTCTGATCCGAGCGACTGTACCGCACGCAGTATGATGCTTTGGTATCGTGGATCGGACTTTCCGCCGGACCGTCGACTCAGCAGGGCCACGCCATGGCGCCACCACTGCACACCGGTCATAGTGGCCAGGTGGGCTGTCGGCACCCAGCAGCGGCGACCTTTGGCGCTCCGGCAGCGGCCGACGCGGTCTGCAGTGGCGTGGCGCCGCCGCCGACCGGTGCTGACGCGTCCCCACTGTCGCCTCCCCCCCCCCCCTCCCTTCCCTCGGTGCGCGCCGCCGCCGATAGCGGTCCATCAGTCGCGCGCCGGACCACGGTGGCGTGAGCGCCGGACGGACCGGTCGCGTGGCCAGACGGTGTTTATTTCCGTGGCTCGGACAGCACGTGACGGGTCGGTCGGCCGGCCGGCGCTCGCTCCGTCTGGCTCGTCGCCCTTCCGTCGAGCACGATCGACTCGACGCTCTCCGCCTCTTAGTGAGAAATTAGACGTGTCTCCCTAACGGATTCTACCCCGCTACCCTTTGGGCCGCCGTGTAGTTGTGCCACTCGATCTGCGAGAGGAGCTGCTCTTTGAGTTGTGAGTGTCATCAGTGGACGCATTCATAGGCTCCGGTGTTACTTGAATAATGGTTAGGAAGTTCTGCTGCCGTAGGTGTTTGTGGTCTTACGGCACTCTGGCTGTATTCCTTGAGAAGCCACAGCCCAGGTAGTTCCTGTTTCATTGTACCACGCACGCCACTTTGACGGCACTTCCGACACCCGTCCAGCCCTGTCGGCTACCGTGCGTGGTCTTGTGCTGTGTGCTGACGCCGGGCGCGATTTCAGAGCGGCACCATGGGCGGCCGGACGCGCACTGTGTCGGCTTCGTCCGACTTCTCCGAGTACTTCCACGAGATAAACGACCGCCAGGTGGACGACATCTCCATCGAGTTCTTCTACAAGCCGCACACCATCACGCTGTTACTGCTGTCCGTCGGAACTATGCTCTATATGGCCTTCACCAGGTGGGTCTCCGCGGGGCCTCGGGCTGCCCGCTATGACCGGTTGCTTTGCAGGGATAGGGAGGAGTGGCGGCGAGATGATGATAAATGATCGTGTGTGGGGTGACCCGGTGAGGAAGGGTTGGTAAATTACGGTGGTCGCCGTCTTCGGGAACTTTGTTGGCCTTATTCGCTTGAAGTGTTTATTTAACTTTGTTGATAGTCAACAGAACACCGTTGGATATCGTACCATTTGACTCCGGTGTCCATGGATCGTGTTCGTATAGTGCGAAGGTCATCAGTGTGGTGATGCTAATTGTTTTATCAATTTTGTAATACATCTTTCTCCTATTTGTGCCGCCACCGACCACCGCTCGGCCCTACAGCTCCGTCGTACTCGCCCCTCCTCTGTTCCCCTTCGCCCGGCCCCGTGACCCTACCTCTGCTGCCGCCGGCAGGGATGAGACCGTCAGCCATCAGAATAACATCTGGACGGGCATGTGCTGCGCCACATTCTTCTTCCTGGTGATATCCGTTCTGACGTTCCCGAACGGACCGTTCACCCGGCCGCACCCGGCCCTCTGGCGGCTCGTCTTCGGCTGTAGCGTGCTCTACCTCATGTTCCTGGTCTTCATACTCTTCCAGGTCAGTGGACGTGCGAGCTTGTGCGGCTGCTTGACATCGCTCATCTTGTCACAGTGCTGAAAGTCATTCAGGGGCGGATCCAGAAAATCTCCAAGGGAGGGGCCATTAGAAACCAGGAGGCCCCCCCCCCATAATCCCACCTGTTGGAGGCCCCATCTTCCCACTTGTTGGCCCCCCCCCCCCCCAAAAAAAAAAACTGCGTCTATTGAGCTTATCTAGCTGTTCAGGCAACATCTCAACATCTGTGCAGGCTTGGAGGCCCTCTGTGCAGGTTAGGAGGCCCTGTAAAAGTGGTCATCTCTGTGAGTATAAGAGACCTCCAAGTTATGAAAAGCTTTACCAATCTTCTAACAAAGAAGTCTTCTCAGCTAGTCTTCTAAGAAATAACTAAGTGGGTAGGTTAAAAAAAACTCATCGGATTTCGGCCACTTTATTTTCAGGAGGCCCCCTTTTCAGCTTTTTAACTTTTTAACTTTTTATTTTATTTTTGAAAAAAATCGGCCAAGGGGGGGGGGGGCCATGGCCCCCATGGCCCCCCCCCCTTGTATCCGCGCCTGAAGTCATTTGTGCTTGAATGGGAGTGTAGCTTGTCAGGCGTTTTCTGACCGATTTTAATTTTTATTAATTGTACCGATGGTTGATTTAAGTACTTATTGTGTGTAATTTTGCTGCACTTGATTCAACAAAGCGACTTTTTATCATATTTGAAAATAATGTTAATATTCATGTTATGCGCTCGTTTTCATTTAAGTTATTAAATTCATCGGCGTTCATTTATCGACATATCAATCAACTTAATTCCGACAGAAGCAGCAGCTAGTCCGCTATCCATAGTAGAGTTTTCTCAAACTATCGTCTGTATTTCAGGATTACGAGACTGTGCGGAGCATTTTGGTTTTCTTCTACCCGGAGCTGCAGAACTTCACCATCGACATGGACGAGGTATGTAGCTCCCGCCAGTAGAACGCCCTTAGACTAAGGTTATTCTCACCAAACTAGCATTTAGATTATTGACCAAAGGCGCTTTGACCCTTTGTGTCTCTCAGTCTCGACACTACCTACATCGTACACAAGCGGTACGTTGTAATCACAAATTACAATTCGGTCACAATCTGGCCTTGTTAGCGTCATTACGGACCAACATATCAAACACAAGCCAGTGTAAATGCTGTCCTTTTACTGTTCTCCCACCGTGCCAAACCCTAATGAGCACTCAGTGTTCCAAGCCTAACCTCCCCTCTTCTTTACACCAATCCTAAGAGCAACTGGGGACAGAACTGCAACCCACTGACGTTCGACAAGATCTGGAGCAGCCTGGACATCTTCGCGTTCGCGCACCTGTTCGGCTGGATGATGAAGGCGCTGCTGATCCGGCACTACGGCCTCCTCTGGACCATCTCCATCATGTGGGAGGTGACTGAGGTGAGTCTGTGGGACAGGGAAGGGGTCAGGTCAGCCAATGTGGAGAGGTCAGTTTGTGGAATAGTGGAAAGGTCAGGTTAGTGACAGTGTCCGGTCAGTCAGTGTGTGAGAGTAACCTGTCCAGTGTGGTCGCGCGCGATTAGAATTGGAACCGTTTATCGTGGTTTGAAATTGTATGGATATCCGATGAGTCAGCCTACTGACCGCCCAGATATGCCCGCACTTTGTTCAGTCTGTAGGCGCGCGTCGGTTATCGGCTTTCAAGATATTTGTTCAGGAAGGATGACGAATTGAATTGTTGTGAACGTGACTTGTCCGCTTGTGTGACGCTCGCCGGCCCGTTTCAGCTGCTGTTTGCCCACCTGCTGCCTAACTTCATCGAGTGCTGGTGGGACGCCATCATCCTGGACATCTTGCTCTGTAACGGCGTCGGCATCTACATCGGCATGAAGGTGTGCCGCTGGCTGGAGATGCGGGACTACAAGTGGGAGAGCATCAAGTGAGTCGCCGCGGCCGCCGCAGGGACACAGTGGGCTCGGTGGGATGCCGCCGTGTCTGATCGGCGAACGATGATAGGGGTAATCTGAGGCAATAATGCGTTCCCTGGTTATGAGAATAAGTAGAGCTGCCTAATGCCCATGGGCCTTTTACTGCATATTTGGTTAATGTTGGATTCGAAGGAGGTGTTTCGTTCTGACTTCTGTTGTACTGTATGATTCCCTGTGATGCACATTAGTAGTGCTTGTTTAATTTCAGCGTACATTAGAGAAAGGGATGACGCTATTATCCCCGCAAGTCGGTAGGCGGTCCCGCTCTAACTGCGCCTGGGTCGTCCCGTGAAGCGCTTGCCCACCTAACCGTACGGCTGTCTGCCTCCCCAGGGACATTTCGACCACGAGTGGCAAGGTGAAGCGCGCGCTGATGCAGTTCACGCCCGAGTCGTGGATCCAGGTGCGGTGGATGGACTCGGACAGCCCGGCCAAGCGGGTGCTCTCCGTGTCGCTGCTGGTCATCGCCTGGCAGCTCACCGAGCTCAACACGTTCTTCCTGAAGCACGTGTTTCAGATGCCGCCGCACAACCCGTTCAACGCCATCCGCATCCTGTGTCTGGGACCGATCGTGGCGCCCACAATTAGGTAAGAACCGACGGCCGGCGGCGACGTCAAGAGATATCCGGGAGGGAAGTGTTGTCCTTTATTGATGTGTCCTACCTACCTACCCAGCTGATGACCTGCCCCCAGCAGCAATTTCTCCTCCCCCTGACAAACTTCATCTCTTTCACTTCCACAGGCAGTACTACCTGTACGTGACGGACCGTCGCGTGAAGCGGATGGGCACCCAGTGCTGGGTATACATCTGCATCACGCTCTCGGAGGCGTTTATCTGCTTCAAGTTCGGCCGCGAACTGTTCAAGCAGACGGTGGTGACGAACGTGCTGATCTGGCTGCTGCTGCAGATGGTGATCACGTTCGTGTGCGTCTACCTGTGCGTCACCTGGAACCGGCGACGGGAGATCAAGGTACGAATGAACCGCGGCGGTTGAGAGGGGTGCGATGAGGGACGGGATGTTCCAAGGGGACGGAGAGGGACAGGCTGAGGTGCGGACGAACCGTTGTGGGTGAGAGGCAGGACAGAGAGCAGACAAATTGCGGTAGAGGGTGAATGAAGGGACGAAGAGGCGCGAACTTGTAAAAAAGTGTTCGAGGCTTATCCAGGTCTGCACATTCGTTCCAAGCACCCAAATCCCATCTTATCAGCACCCCTGTTCTCCCCAGGACGTGGGCAATGACTCTGGTCTGGGCCTGAACTCCAGTGTGCTGGACACGCCTCAGCCAGGGGAGGGCGGTCGCCGGCCGAGCCCCTCTGCCGACCGGAGCGCCGACCTGCGCCGACGCGCTGGTGAGTGCCACAGAGGCGGGTCTTTGGACAGATAGGTAGCGCTGGCCAGTCGGGCGAACAAATGCCACACGAAAACGATGTCGGAGACTGCGTACCGTCGTTCAGTATATCAGTCATTGCGCTGTCATTTTATCTTCGTATAGTGGCTTCAATAAGACTTACTGTTTGTTGGCTGGTTGTCCACTGACATATCGCGTTTACGGAGAAAATGTGGTTTACAGGACATGTACCCTGGTGAAACTGACGGATTTTCGAGCTTTGTAGAGTGTAGACGCTGTCCTCACGCGCTGCTCCGTCCTCTGTCCTCAGCCGGCTGTGCGGGCAGCGCTGTGTGTCCCTCCGTCCCTCGCGCTGCGTCACCAGTCTCGTCCTGACTCGTCGCTCCTTCCCCAGTCGCTGTGTCACCGATCTCGCCCTGACACACTACTCCTCCCCCAGGCGGAGTGTCGGCGCGGGACCGGCTGAACGCAGTGGCCTCCGGCGCCGCACCGCGCCGCTCGGTGCGGCTCGGCGGCGCTGTGAGCGAGGACGGCGACCGCTTCTGAGCGCGGCGCGGACGAACGGTCTCGCATCCAGCGCGTCCGCCGGTCCGGCTCTAGTCAGTAGAGGAGGCAGTGAGAGGTGTGCGGACGGCGGAGGGCGAGGATGAGCGAAGTGAACCGAGCCGGGAGGGACGATGGGAGGTGCAGCAATGAAGGGACTGCCAGCTATCATAGTCGAATTACATCGTAGGCATTTGTATCGTCAGGGTGCGTCACGCGTGTCGTGCCCGCGCTTGTGGTGGGAGGACTGGATGGCGGCGCCGCGTGGCGGATGGACCCGGGGCTACCAGCTCTGCGGCTAACTGCCCTGGTGATGCGCCTTGGTGTGAAGACCTAATGCCACCGCCGACAGCTCCCGTTCGACCAGTATTTCCTGACGTCCATCATCCAAACGATCGCTCTTCGCTGTTCCTATAGCGTTGTATGGCTGGCTTTGTCGTCACGTGTTCAGCTAGCTGTCAACAAGCAATCGTGTTTTGACTGCGAGCGTGTCGGTGGTATGGAGACCAATCATGCGCTGTGTTTTGTATCGGGTGGGAGGGCCGGCGGGGACGGCCCGTATCGGGTCCACTCGGCGACCGGAGACCTCGCGACTTCCTCTCCTCTCCTGACTTCTCGGACCATATAATCATGCAACCGAGCTCAAAGGTACCCTCTTGTGCACCGTGCCGTGACTGAGCCTCTTCTGCGTCTGTCACTCTGTATCACTCCCATTGCTCACCGTACTGTGTCGAATGTCCCGCTTCTTTTCACCTGTCAGTGTCACCGTGTTGTACCAATTTCGCACTGTCCGCGTCGCTGCTAGTTTACTTATCCGTGGGGCTCGGCGTGCCATTGTCGCTCAGCCTCTGATGGCTGTGCTGTGACGATACTCACGTGTGTTTTGCATGTTCTCTTGCCAATTGCCATACTGGGAGACATCTCTGGAACGCGAACCGCTTTGTGACTGGGATGCGGCTGTTTTGTGGCAGCCACTCGAATCTCCCGGCACTGGATTAGGCTTTGTATCACCGTTGTATCGCCGAACGAAGTCAGTCGCGGACTCGCGGGACGCGGTATCACTGTGTAGTGCGTATTGAGCGCAGCCACAGCGGGCTTGGTCATGGGTGTTCGAACGCTCATACAGTGAATCCATCGTGGCTGGAAGGATGCTGAGAGTGACTTTTGCACGCATATCTGCCTGCGTGAGAGTGAAGACCAAGTCGAGGGTACTGGGCATGCCGCCCGCCGGTAGCCGAATGTATGAGGCGGCAAGCCCTGTGTCCTGACGATGTCTAGGGGTCCGCTGTGTCCTGGATAGCCGGTCGTATAATGTCTGTGTCTTGACGATGCCGGGCCCCGCCGGCCAGTGACGCGGTGCCCACTGGCGTCTCCCGGCGGGGTGGTGTCGGTCCGAGGCACCTGGGACACTGCTCGGCGACCGGCAGTGGTCCAACACAGCCACAGTGTGATGTGTGCCGACCGGTGCCCCGTGACGCGATATGAGGTTCGATATCATATTGCCTGTCCAGGCGGGAAATACAAGTGTTCTCGCTCACACTTTTTGTCGCCTTCCTGCTAATGAGATGCGCTCTCCGCGAAGTGGGCGGGACGTTGTCAAGGCTTTTTTAGACCGGCCGTCGCGGGTGCTATCGGGTACTATCGTCTTTTGATTCTTCCATCTGTCTCCAGGTGCGTCTAGTTGGTTTAAAGTTCTATCGTATGGTTTCGGATTTACTCATCGAGCATGCCATTGGCAGGCTCGAGGAAGTGCTCTCTGCCCTGACCATCACGCCTCCGGGCAGGTCTCATCCACAACTTGCCTTGTCCCCTGTCGGGAGCAACTCTAACTCGTAGTTCGGCCGACACTCGCGGATGGCGCTACAAGTCCGTACCCCTCTGACGTGCGTGGCTGACCAGTGACCAATGACCGCGGCTGGTTCCGCGGGTTCGGCCGGTCTCGGCGCGGCGCCGACCACGTGGCCGTGACGTCACGGCCCGCCTGCGGGTGCCCAGGGCCGGCGGTGGCGCCGGGCGGCGGCGGCGGCTCTCAGACAGGCGCCGGTGGTCGGCGGGACTGTGGTTAGGAGCGGTCGGCAGGCGGTGGCGCGTGCGGCTTGACCCTGCCACGCCCCCCGTGACCCCGCGCCGGGCCGGACCGCCGCTGTGGTAGCGACGGTGCGACTTCGATGGGAGGCCGGTGAAGAAGTTGACGATCTCCAACAGAGAAGGACCGGAGAGCAGCCGCTGAGAGGTAAGTGGAGACGGCCAAGCTATGGAGACCTGACGTCGGAGAGGCTGTGGCTCGTGTCCGTCCGTATCAGTATTTACCTAGTACGTCCACGTGACCTGCGGAAGGAGCTCCTGGGACTCGATTTAAGAAACTCCGTGCAGCATGAGCAGATTTACAGGCCAACTCCAAGCAGATCGTAAACTAACAGCGGGGCCCGTTCAGAATAAAAAATGGGAAAAGCGGGATGAAAATCACTTCACCCATGGTCGAGACTTGTTGCATTAAAACTTAGTACCTACTCTACCGTTCTGTCCTTTGCGCCGTTTATGGCCATGAGCTACGGCAATACAGCAGAAGGTCACAAGTCGCGACCTTCTGTCCGAGCGCTCAGTTGCAGACAGATTTGCAGCATTAGTAAGCATACTTTCGGCGGCTCGTTTCAAGTCGCCGCTTTTATAATTGGCCAATTAACGTATTTTTCGCTATTATTGGCATTGGAAATGTATCTAGGCATCAAAGACAGATTTAGCAGGTGGACTCGGGCCAAGCCTCCATCCCAAAACAGGGAAGGAAAGCTTTATCATGAAATTAGAGAGTCCATTGATGCCCACTGATTTGACGGTTTAGGCCCACCCCGGCCTCACTACCGATGAGTCCGTCTCCGAAGACAATTCGAATTCAGCGCACCGGTTACGAAGTTCAATGTGCATTGTTGATTGTGGAGTGTCGTGACGCGACATACCCGTGTCGGATCGTACTGCTCCTCCTGGCCTGCTGCCAATCATACCTGTCCGTTTCGACCGGTGCCGTCTGAATTCATCTATACCTGCGACTGAACGGTGTCATCAATGTCCCTGCTTTGCATGAGCTGAGGCGTTATTTTACCGACCAATACCGTCTCTACTTGGCCATTAGTGTGGCTTGCTGTCATGCCTGGGCCAGCAGTCAACTATCCGTATAGTCTTACTGTGTAGTGGGGTATCATTCAACCGCGCCTTTTAAATTTGGTAATGCGAGTGCCCGAACCGTTTCGGATGGGTCATCAGTGTGTCAGTATCATGCAAAGTTCACTTGTATGTCATTCTCGAAGTGATTGGACATGAATGCCTTACCTACTTTGCTACAGTTTCCAGTGTTTGTTACCCGCACCGCATTAGCTTAGCCATCAGAAAGTCGAGCTTGAAATTATAACACTCAAAGACAATAAAGGACAGTTTATTTAGCCTAATATAAATGGATGGTTTGTCATGCAGGAGGCATCTATAGCAATGTTCCGATGCATCCATTTCTGTCCCGGTCGCCTGTCCCTCTCTACTCCACCTCCCGTCAGCAGCCAGTGCGCTCAGCCTGTCCGCCTATACAACGCGTCCACTATCTGAGCCATTCTCTATCAGACGGCAGTGCGTCGGCCCCGTGTCTGTGGAAACTGCGATAGCGACTGCGAGACGCCGCGTCGTCGGTCCTGTCCTTCGAGCTTGCTGCTGCGAGGACGGTTTTAGATCTTTTCGAACCACCAAGCTCCCCCAGTGAGCACGATGGGCCAGTCTCGATCCAGGGCATATTGAAACGACATTTCGATCTCCAGATGGCGGCTGGTCGGCCCCTGAGCTCGCGGTAATCGGTGCCGAGGCGGCCGGCACGTGGTGTTTGTTGGCTGTTTGTGCCGCTGGAAATGGGCGATGGTTATCGGTGGGACGCCGAGTATGAAATATCCGAAGACCATTGGCTCGTGAACAAAGAATCTTCGGGCCCGAAAACCTGTGGGTGTTAGCGTGAACGGTGTGGAATCTCAAATCACCGGACAAGTGAGCCGTCGAGCCGAATAGTTAGTATTTTGTCGAAACGGGTAGGCCCATGTCTGCGCCGAACAGGCATGCTCCCGGAGAATCACTCGGTTACTCAGCCTGGTCCGCTCTTGTCTAGCCTACTGTCGCCGCTCCCGCTGTCAGCTCTGTCGCCACCAGAGCGCTCCAGGGCCGGGTGAGCGACCGGTCAGCGGACGAGGTCGTCGGTTACAATCACAAACACCGTCCGGTGCCGGCCGGCGTCTGATGGATGGCGTCGCGCGCTGGACCGTCTACGCACGGCTGGAGCGCGGGGTCGGACTCTGATGGTCTTTTCTCCCGATGGACCGATCCGGCGCAGTTCCGCCAGCGCTGCGCGCTGAAGGAAGCTCGATAAATCCTTGCGTTGGGAAATATGAATTCATGCGGTGAATTATGGCCAAAGGAAAAAGAAAGCTATGACAGGTAATGCCTTTTAACTCCTATGCTCGATGCCTAGCGTAATATTTGCAATGCATATACCTAACAGATTAGTAATTTGTGGTGTTGCATGTACTAAGAAGGGGTTTTCAGTGGCCTCCGATTGATTTGATTGGTAAACTCTTATGACTCTTATGACTTATGATAAACAAAATACAAGCACCGTACCACGATTGCGCGGATTATCCCTTTGCGCATATATCCACCTATAGACCTTTAAAGGATCTCCAAGCCCCATCAAAAGGTTCGTCGGCCGCAGCGGTCTGTTCGTGGCCATGGGACCACTCGGCGCACACCAGCGGATCACCACCGACCGGCAACAGCTGCGGGCCGCCTCCTGCGGCCACTTCTGCGGTGCTGATTTTCTCTTTGGTTATCTAGCTGTATGAGTGGCTGTGACGTCATAAAGCTAGGTTACCAAAGTTAAGAACAGCGCCTGATCATCGCGTCGGACGGAGAAGGAGAGGCCGAGGGAGACGGCAGCGAAAGCGGGCGTCGCCGGCTGCTCGGCCGGCGGACGGAGGGAGGGCTCCTCAGGGAGAGAGAGCGGGCGGGCGGCGCGGGTCGGCGCGCATTGTCCGGCCGGGGAGCCGCCAGGTTATGGATGCCGGTGTCAATGAGGAGAGAGCCGCCGCCCCCTGACGGTGCGCCCGGCCGCCAAAGGAAGACTGACGGATGAGAAAGGAGCCGCGGTCCGGGCCGGCTCGGCTCAGGAGATGGATGGACAGATACCGGCCGGGGAACAGAACGGCAGAGAAATTCGGAGAGAATGGACGACAGGACGCCATGTGATGAAACGAGCCCGCTGCTTGGTAACCCGATGGAAGTCAGACACTTTGACATAAACATTTAAAATAAACCACGCATGGCTGGGGGATGTTCCTAACTGCGGGTGACTGAGGGGTGGATCTCCGAAACAACTGGTTTTAAAATTCAAACAACGTTTGGTACATAGCTCTGGTAACCCTCTCGAAAAGAAAATATTGACTAGTTTTTTTTCTGAATAACTCGAGTACAAGCGAAACGAAATTAAAAAAAAAAATAATTGACCTCAAGACGTTTCAGGTTGCCTTACGTCAGTTCTAAGCAGAAATTATCAACAGACATGTTCACATCCGGCTCGAGCCATCGCTTCGCACGTTACATGAGCTCATTTTAGCTTGAACCCGTAACCAGACATTTCTTTGGCTCAGACTAGATGGATATGAAATTTAATCCCCATGAATGTTACCTCTGGTCCGATGGAATTATAGCTCCAGCTTTCTAATTTGTTTAGAGATCTATTGGAATCATGAATATGGACCCACTTTTGTCATGACGCATGACGCATGAAATGGTGGATGCATGTGCCCACATGCCAAGTTTCTGCGCAAGTGCCCCGGTAATTGCCGAGTTATTGTGATAGGAACAAACTTGGAACTTCTTCGTTTAGCACGTGGAATCATTCGGCCCGGCGGTTGCTGAGCTATAGTTAAGCCTCTCAAAAGTGTTGCAGGCCGGGCGGGGCTGCTCATACTGAAATTTTCCTGTAAGGTTTATTCAAAAGCATCGCTTCGCGCTCACTCGTAACCACACAATACGGTCGCCTGAATATAGGCTGTACCGCACGACACGGTCGCCTGAATGTAGACTGTACCGCTCAACACGACTGCCTGAATGTAGGCTGTACCACACAAGATTGCCTAAATGTATCCACTGCATTTAAAAACGCGGGCCGGCTAGCCTTGTTACTCAAACTCAAAGTGTGCAGTTGGAAGCGTGCAATAGAAGCACTAAGGTAATCTAGACCGTACCTACCCGTAGTCTGCCCTCACGTAGATTGTCACTGCTGTGTTTAGTTTTATCAATCACATAACCGTAATGATATACAATACTGAACGAGGCCGGTGTAAATAAATTTTCAAGACCGAGGTCCTTACTGAATTTTTGAACGAGGCCGAAGGCCGAGTTCAAAAATCAGTAAGGACTGAGGTCTTGAAAATTTATCACCGGCCGAGTTTGGTATGCATTTTACTGTATGCCAACGATAAAATAATTGTCTAGACCGAAGCTCTTAGCCATTT